GGCACAATTAGATTATGCTTTAGCATTTCCTGAATTTCCTCCTTAATGAATTGCTGATTTTTATATGAGGTACGATAAAAGTTTTGTTTAATGGGTGTTGCATCCGTAGAGATAGTATGAGTTATAGCTTTAGTCCTTCCAAATTTATAAGGTTCCCAGACGAACAAATCATCATATCCTTTCATAAATTCTAAGAATATTAATTTATCCTGGGGTTCCAATTCACCTATATTATACTTTTCCTTATCTGGTTCCTTTGGTTCATCCTTAGACTTTAACTCAGATTCGTTATAGTATAGCTCAGTGTTGAATTCATAATAGACTTGTTTATGAATTTCCTGTTCAATTTTTATCATGGTGGTGGAGTTCCCGATGGAGTTCCCGATGAATGTATATACATATATAACATTATGAATCCTACTGTTAATACAATTATTGGTAATACCCAAGCACACAAACCTAATCCAGCATCACCTAAAGCACCTATAGATTGACATATCGCTGCGAAACCTCCTTTAATTATTCCTGCGGCACCAAATCCTAACAAGCGGATAATCCCAATAAGGATATGAGGTGAAAGAAAAGCCATTGCAATTATTATTGTTATAATAATAATAATAATATAATTTTCGGTTATAAATTTAATCACTGAATTAAAAACTTCACCAATCTTTTCAAAAATTGGTTCAAGTGAAGGAAATTGGATTTTGGGCATTTCAGGAAGTGTGATATTGGGATATTCCATTGTGGTCATCGTATAGATGTCTGAGGGACTTTTATTAATCTCATCGTACTTGGTAAGTATGATAGTATCCTCATCAGTGAGTTGTAGGGTTATTACTTTTTGCGGGGTAGGAAGGCAAATAACATATTGACATAAAAATGTAATGAAAATTGCAATTGTGATTTTAGAAAACAAATTCATTTTTTCTTGAAATTAACAAAAAAAAACTTTCTTGGGATTAAATATTAGCGTTAAATTGTAATTAGTGTTACAGAACTTTGGAGTAAATAATCCGTAATCATATGATTTTTCTAAATGATACATGTTTGTTTGTCTTACTGGCGCAATCGTACATCTTTCAATAATAGAGAGAATTCTTCTTAATTATGCATGCAATGGGTTACGTACTATTTAGCCAAAAAAGGTTTATCTGTTCCTCGGATCCGCGTACGTGCTGTGTTTGGTTATAATGACTAAAATATCTTATTCGATCAATTTACATAATTATTCGATTAAATTACTTTATTAATCGTTGGAATATAGTAATTATTCGAAAAAATTTTATTCGATTAATCGGAATTATTCGATTAAATTCGGCTGTTTTCATAACTGATAAATTCTGGGACACCTCAAAAATTACTCTTTCTCGAAATTTCTTGATTCCGTTCTAAGAATAAATTAACTTTTCAGAAACTATGTTGCTGTATCTGGATCGAAGTTCTGAGAACAGCGACATAATTCCAAAAATTTAGATAATTCTTAAGACAGGATCAAGAAAATTTCGGAAATGAGCAATTTTTTAAAATGAAAATTTCAAAATTTGAGTGGTGGCTTGTTGAGTTTACCCGTAATAATAAACCTATTATTAATTTTTTAGTACCGGTACTGTATATTTATAGTACGTACGTACTTATTATTTGAATGCAATATTCAAATAATCCCAATTTCATTATTGTAATTAGACTCGCACGATGGAATGGATGTCTTAAAAAAACTACTGTATTTTAATTTTTAAATTAAACATAGTGACTATAAAATTCCTGGAATTTTAAAATATTTATTTATTTTTTTGTTAATAAATTTTTAAAATGCAAAAGCGACACCTTAACAACTAATTGCATCCTATTTCATTACACGTAGAAGAAAGCTATATTATATTATTCTTAATAAAATTGGTATTCTATTTCTAACAACCATATTTTTCAATTGTTTATATTATTCGCCGAGGAAGTTTAGATTTTTATAAGTGAGTTAGTCATGGCAAAAAAATGTCGAGATTACGCGATCAGAGATCATTTCCGACCGTAATCGGAAAGAGCTCAAAAGATAATCTTATTAACATACGTTAAAGACATG